TCAGACAATACATTTGATGAGTGAAAGCGTTTCAATTCATTGTGAGCATTCATCCCATTGTACATAAATGGCTCTATTCAAGTAAACATATCTTTTTGTCGAAAAAAAGGACAATGAATGCTGCATTGCTAGGAGAATGTAGACAGTGGATGGGCTCTTTGGAGAATTCAGCTCAGTTTATGTGAATTACAAATGTGGAAAACTTAACGCAACAATGAAAAGATGCATTGTGGCACAGCATCATTGTGTTTGAAACTGTTTTTTATACTATAAAAGGTGACTTGTCCTTGAATTTTGTTTTATCTAGTGGCTAAAGTGTTTTAAATTGGTTCCTTTTCTTTCTTCTTTCCAACTTTCGGTTTCATCCACAGTAGCAGTTAAGCCATATTTACAGGCGTCTATTCGCCGGTCTCTAAACATGATCTTGTACTAGCTTATTAGCTGTAGAGCATTATAAAACACTACAGCTAAGAGTATAAAAATAAAGCCAATACAAATGTGTCAACACAGGGTAATTGCTATCTAATTAACACTTTAAACTTGCAATGACCTGTCCCTATAGGAAGAATTACAGGAGCGGGGCAACCATGGGGTTTATTAAGAGGACCAAACATTCAGCTCACATTTCCTCAAAATGTTTATGAAGAGCACATTCTTGTTTTATATAAACTCCAATTTTCCAGAGCCTCTGATAGCTTTTCATACATCAGCATGCTGCAGTGAGAAAAAGAGCGTTCTATATGTTAGAGTTTCATTTACACAGCAATCTTTAATGTAATCAATACTGTGTGAAACTAAATTAACTCAGAATAATAAACAAGCCATCAATGACGGCAACATTAATCGACACAAAGAAATATATGGCTGACTATTGAGAGTTTGAGGCTGGTGCCAACATCCATCATCATCGTAATTTCTCCCTTTTCTGCGTGTTACAACAGTTACTACTCTCTAAAGCTTACCCTATATAGTAGCACATAAATTTCACCATTCTATCATTCTCTGTTGTCTTGTTCCCCGTCTGTTTTTCACTCTCTACGTGTACAGTACAACTCCCTTTTTTTACCTCGAATCCATCCCTTTGGACCTCTCAGTAGGAATGATGTGGCTCAAGTCGTTATTGATTTATTTGCTAAGAACTCACAGGGAGCAAACATAAAAGAGCAGTCATATATTAGACATGAATCCGAATTCCCTCAAGAGAGGTTTACTTTGTCAAGAGAGCAGAAGTAAAGAGAGTGAGACAGTTTGAGAGAGAGAGAGGCAGTGACACATGACAAAGGGAGTGGGTGAAACAGAAAGAAAGACAGAAAGAAAGAAAATTCGGAGAGAGGAAAGAAAGGGACGTCAGAGAACGTTAAAAGAGAAAAATAACTAAGAAGAAAGATTAGAAGTGCAGTGTAGTGAACCAGGGCTCGCTAGAAATTTCCAAACTATGGAAATACTGGTATGGATGGCAGCAATGCGGGCTGTTTCTTAGTACAACATTTAAAAGAACTACATGGACGTATGTCCATAACATCGCTGACCTCAACACTGCCTCTATAAATCACCCTTCCTTTCCTGTCCAATATCTGTCCATACAACTATAACTCACTTGCATTATCTTGATTTGTGTGTGTGTGTGTGTGTGTGTGTGTGTGTGTGTGTGTGTGGATCGCTGTGTGCTGAACATACACAATATCCTAAGGTAAACACGGAGCAGCATTGTTAACAGCCCTGAAGTGAGCACCTTATTGCCACCAATAAGGGGCAGCTCCAGCTAAGCTTATGACAACTAGTAAAGGTCAGTGAGTGATGAGTGTCAGTTTAACACACGTTACGTTAGCTATAAAAGCCTCAGTTGCATCCGCAGGGCACCATTATTGCAAGTAATATAACCATGACACAACAAAGAAATTGCAAAGTCAATAACATGTTATTTGCATGAGGTGCCAATCTAATTATTAATAAACCCCTTCATATGTTTCGTCTCTAAATGAATGGGCATATAAAATATAGTTATGCTTGAAGTGTCCAAGATGTCAAGCTGCTCATTAGGCTACTGAAGTCTGTCAGTGTCTTCCCGGCACTGTGTCTCTGAAGTTAAACAGGTGTTATGAATATGGGACGACAGTAGCTGCCCAGAGAGTGGAGACAAAGACAAAGAGGCAAAGCACTCACCCCCACAAGGCTTTACTGTAATCGCACCCTCAGGCTGCATGTCTACTTGGAGAAACAAGGGAAGATGGTAGAAGCAGTGCACGGCTGCATAAACACCGCTGTTTATGGACAAGTTAATTGAGCAGACACTGATTGACAGCTTTCTGTCTGATGCTGAAATCACCTTTCCCATCAGCACGGGAGATTACCAGCACACAAAGTCTGCGCAGAAAAACTCCATAACTGAGACATTTGAAGGAACGACTGCAGAGAACTTGTGTTATTGTTTTAATAATTGAACTGAGATGGAAAGGTTTCTGCCCATGCACTGTCTAAAGATAGACACTTTGCTCAGCTCTGTTGTGGTCTGCATGGCTGTGAAAGTGGATTAAACAGGCTTTAACATCAAGACGAGCTCTAATGAAACCCAATGGGGGAGTTAGCCCGTCTGTTTGGCCAGCTGACTCCCGTAAAAACCCATCACTGTCTCCTGGTGCCTGCTCTAAAAGTAGCCTTGTGGTGCCAGTCAATACGCTGCGGCCTCAGGGTTGTACTGTATGATGCTTTTGTCTGGATCATACAGCAGCTCAAACTCTCTATTTTTTCACTTAATTATTCCATAGATTGGTGTTTTTAATAAAATTTAGTGTCTGCGTCAGTGTCTTTGCCTAAAACATCTGTTAAACTAAAAAGATTACTTGGCGAGGAGACGCTGGGACCGTATTCATATTATTGTTTTAAAGGAACATTTGGGAAATACACATATTCTTGCCAAGAGTTAGATAAGAACATGTGTATCATTCTCATGTCTGCGAGGCAAATATGAAGCTACAGCCGTAGCCAATAAGCCTAGCTTAGCATAAAGGCTGGCAACAGGAACGGCTAGACTCGCTGTGTCTAAAAGGAAAACCATCTAACTAAAAGCACCTCTAAAGGTCACTGATTCATTTGTATCCAACTTCTTTTATTCTTACAAACACCCAAGTGTAAAAGCTGTGGATTCATGTGGGGTTTTACAGACTCTTGGTTGGGAGCAGTGGCGTTCTGGAGTCTTATTGTCACTGTAAAGTTTCAATTTTCAAAATGTACACTTTGGTTTTTGTACGGATTAAACAAACATGTTTAGACACATTTAGAGGTGTTGGTGGTCCAACACATCTGGGCAAGCTGTTTCCAGTCCAGTTGCTAAGCTTAGTTAATCAGCTGCTGGCTGTAGCTTCATGTATGCCATACAGACATGAGAGTGGTTTTGATCTTTTCATCTAACTCTCAGCAAGAAAGCGGTGTGCATATTTCCCAAAATGTCCAACTACTAATTCCCAATATATTATCCCTCAGGAGTGGCAGAACAAACAGTGGGTTATCCATGAACTTCTCAATAGTGTAGATTATTTTTCAACAGCACCAGTACATATTCACCAGCTTGGGAGTAATAAACCAAAGGCATTAGCATCTGTGCTCACTCCAGCACCCACGCAGAACGACAGGTTCAGCAGAAAGCAAAAGCAAAGACACTTGGAGCCATCTAAACCTCTGTCACCCACAGCCCATTTAGGAAAGTCATAACGATGATCAATACGGCAGTAGCATTGTGCACGACAAAACCATCTATCAGCAGAAGAAATCCTGAAAAAATATGAGTCAACCAATATTGCCCGTGGCTCGAACAATACATCAAGCCGTGAAAGCTCTATTGCTGTTCACCTTTGTCTCTCATCTTCTCCTTCATGTGTCTCTTTCTTCTGAATGTCCTCAACTGCATCTCTCCCCACAAGAGGCAATGGAAAGTCATAATCATCCAAACACATTCCTGCTCCACCTTTAACAGACTAGTAACAGACCATGCATTCACCGTGACACAGAACTTGACTGCACTGTTCCCTAACAATGGCTTTGTTGATATATTGATGTAAAAACACAGGGGTCGTGTTGATATATGCAACATATTAAAATGTTAAACTATCGAGATTTGCAGCCACGGTGAAATAGTTTGTGATTCATATACAGCTACTGTATTGTCAAACTCACACTCTGGCTTCTATGATGAATAACTGCAGCCGTGGACTAAAAGGAAAATATTTGCACCATGGCACAGATGCCATTCCCTCTGCTTTTACTCATTGTCCAGCACAATGTCAAAGTACCCCCAGGTCACTGAAAGGGAACATTCCTTCACATTGCCATCTATGGGCATCACAAATAAACAGTTACCCCAATTCATGAAAGCTATCCACTTGCCATGTAAGGACACAATTAATTTCCTCCTCTGTCCACAGCAACGCAGTAGCAAATATGTTGTATCTGATCACCTAAATAATCATTAATGTGCCACAAGAGGGGGAATACGCATTAAACACTAACCCTATTAGTGACAATGCCTTTCTTCTTTTTGGTTTACTTTCACTTTGGGCAAATCAAGTTATGAAAACAAATATTTCCCCGTGTTTCTAATGAACTTAACAAGAGAATATTTGCTTGAGAAGCCACGTAGCCTTTTTGGAGGAGACGCATTTTGAAGAGCGCAGAGCGCAGAGGGTTGGGCAGGGATGCTGAGCCGGGCAACGGGGGGAACCGCAGCAGAGGCACTTGTTTGCCAAACTTGCACTTACACAAAAAACACATTTAATACGAGCCTTCAATAACATCCTGAATATAGTCTATCAGCTTTGGAGACCAGCACAAGTAATCAATAATATTCTGTTGTGTCTGCAACTTCAAAGTGCAGCGTTGTGCGGTTGAAAGCGTGACACAATGAAGCAGCTGAGAATCGGTTCTAGGGGTAAAGACCGAATACTTTCCTGTGTTTAAATATTTCCAAAACTTTCCGGGTTTTTTGTTGTTGTCTTATTTTCACTTACCTCATAAATCTCAATAGCGTGCGGGTCAAAGTCAGCACAAGTAGATGGGAAAATGGCAATCCAGTCAAACTTGTCACGGGTCCATGTTTGGCACAGCGGCAGCACGGCAGTCCAATCTAGTCGCAAATAAAGCGTCAACGGTACACAGCCAAAGAGGCTCGCCACCGTCCACTGTCACCGAGCCGTGGATTGGACAGCGATGTGAGGAGCACAGCGGGATCCTCAAGGGCGCACGAAGGAGCACTGCGTCAGGATTGGTCAGAGCAGCAGTGACGCACCGGCAGGTGGCACACCCGGCGAATAAAAAGTCCAGATTCATTGATAATAGCGCTGGGAAACTATATGAGCTCAACACACTGGCAGATAAAACCGACAGACAAACTCTATGGAAGTCGTGCAAGATCAAAAAATGTCAGGGTCCTCCTTATTTCATCTTTGTCTCTCTGCATGCTCAGGCTATTTTTCCGTTTTAATAATTGGAAACCAAAGCTTCAATCTGTTTAGTTCTGCACAAAATACTGAGCTATTTAATTTGGAACAAGCAATGTCCTGTTTTTCTAATTTCAGTGTTTTTTCCAGATATGACCCTGCTGCGATTTCAAAACACAAAAGAGTGCTTCTATTTCTCTGGAAGCAAATTATCTGTTTCACACACAGTAAACCAGCCGAAATAAGTCGAAATGATTTTTGAGGTTTTGCAAATGATTTTTAACTATTATTATCGACTGATAGGGTTAAGGAGCTAAAAAAGAAAACTGCTAATAGATGGGAGGGAAAAAGAAAAGCAGCAGCATGCATGCAGAGGTGTTGCCTGAGTCTGGGGAAGACTGCACACAGTTGCACGTAAATAAAACAGAGAAAACATATGAAGGTGTTTAATCAGAGCTGAAATATTCATTTCACTTGTTTATTTCACCCAATGTGGGGAAAAAAAGTGGAAACTGAGCGTGTTTTGACACTTGTCTGGGTGTAATTCAGGGAGCCAAAGCAAATGTTTTAATAATTGTTCTATAAACACAAATAAGGAGTGAGTGGTAATCCTTGGTGGAATGTGTAAGCCAATTACGGCTGGCTGCAGGGCCTTGTGGAATGGGGCCTCAGAGCTTCCTGCTCAGACTCACTGCAGACCCTCGGACCACATTTCCTGTTCCCATTGCATGCACGGGCAATATTTCTATGAAAATACAGAACGGTTAGAGACATGCCTTGTAGGCTATTCGACATTGTGTCTTGTGTGTACTTTCCCAACAGCAGCTTGTTTGCATCCTGTGAGTGGGGAACCAGTTTTTTCCATCTGGATTCTGGTGTATACGTGTGTGTGTGTGTGTAGGCTTACATAATATCATGTCTGTTGTAACTAGATGAAAAGAAAGACTTGGACACTTGCTGATGTGGTTAGTTTATGTTCTGGTGTTCATGTTGGGTGTACTCTGTACTCCCCTATAGCTTCACATATTTGCTAATTTGCAGTTATTAAAATAATCTTTGCAGACATATAAAGAAGAGAAGGGATAGACAAATAAATCAAGGTAGAATGAGGGCAAATATTGACTGTTAAAGCCAATCTATTTTATTTCAATGTTGACTGCAACCTGGTTGATGCAAATATTGCAAACGAAGGCTGCAAATGACATCTGGGACACTGGGTATAACCTACAGCAGCATCACTGCATTACATGAACCATGACTGAAGTGTAAACAGCATGCTAATAGGAAAGTGTGTTATAAAATAAAGCGTCAGGCATCTGTAAGTAGGATACATAGGATTTTTATTTCAAATCAAAACAATAAATAATAAAACGGTAAAGAGAACCCAGTCAGTGGTTCTAGTCCAGCAAACCTGCTATGTGGGCTTCGATAAACACACGCTCTAAGCTGAGCCTCAGCATTCACCTTCCTGCAATTTCACACTGTCTGATTCCTCAAGAATTGCATGAACACACTGATAACCAAGTCACTGTAGCCAACTGGTCTACAGAGACAGTTTTCACTTCATAATGGCCTCTTCCAATCCAATTCTCACTCTCAGGAGTGTCAGCAAAGTACAAAGGAAAAAAATGTTACAAAGAAAAAGTGCAGAAACATTGGCAACAACGTTTGTCACAACAAGAACGTTTTACCTACCTAAAACTTGAAGAATCGGCTGAAAAATGTAAGATTATATAAACAATTAGAGCTACAGTAAGATTCTAACAAAAAGAGTTTGTGCTTCTTCTGCTTTGATATCATCTACAGGAAATACAATTCAGTGAATCGGAGAAAAAAGCTTTGCCCACAAGGTGTACCTCAGGGCGAGAGGAGCTGGAAACTGCAAGATGAACATGTAGTAAAAAAAAAAATAAAAGTCTAACAACAGGTCGCTACAATGCACACTCCGATAATAACAAATATATCAACAACAAAGGCTACCAGAAAGACCAAAAGATCCATAATGGAACACAGCTGCAATGGTTGGTCAATTAATCTATTAGCCTAATGATAAAACATTTATCAGTAACTATTTCGATAGTTGAATAATCGTTTTAACTTTTTTAAAGCAAAAATGCCAAACATTTGCTGGTTCCAGCTTCTTTTTAAATCTGAGGATTTGATCCTTTCCTTTGTCACACATGATAGTAAACTGAATGTCTGAAATCACTGAATCTGAAGACATCACCTTGGGCTATGGGAAATTAGAACAGATGTCTGTAAATATCATTTAACTACATAGTTCTGATTTGTATTATGGAAAATGATGTGAAATTAAGAGGATGGATGTAATAAATGACATTTTAAAGTTAAAACAGTGCTAACAGCATAACAGTTAACCCTAATTTCTTCATTGCTGAGTCTTGCGATATAAAATGTTCCAGCTTCTTGCATATAATGAATACACCTAGGTTGATCATTAAAGTATGACAATCACATGAAAGTCAGTGTGAATAACAGTAGAGTCTAAGGAATGTAATATTCTTCTGTGAACATTTGATGGGGAAAAAATACCCCAAAAAGTAAGAAACCCAAAGCCTTAAAATGCCCTGGATAGGCTCTGTCTTATTTTAAAAAAATTGTCTTAGATTTGGTAATTACAGAAAAAAAGAAGAAAAGTCACAGCATGAAATCCTCATGAACCTCTACTTCAAACCATGAAATGTTTTATAGGAACCACAGTTGGAGTCATTCAGGGTTATCTTTTTCAGGGTAGGAGAAAATATTGCCTGCCTGATCCTACATTTCTGATTTCACAATATTAGTCATTTCCACAGATGATTACAGCTCAGACGTACTATTATAAAGCTTTAAAACATCATGTTGGCAAATATTCCTGGGAAAACACATTACTACCACTTAGAACTAATTATGACATTTTTTACATAATCTTTCTTTTAATATGCACACAAGCAGCTCTTACGGAAAGAAGAATTAACACCACGTTTTCCCACATTTTGATGCTGGTTGGGCACTGGTGCCGATGACATGTTGAATACCACCAGTCTTTGAATTTCTGGAGGGTTTTTCAATTTAAAATGCATGTTTTTTCCCTGAAGAATAATTAGAAGCTAACGCCCGCAGGGTGATTTCTCTATGTGTGTGGGGGGGGGGGATTTCTGTGTGTATGTGACTGTGTCCGTGTCCTTTCTTGACATGTGCAATAAGATATTAGCATCTGAATACCAATGCAGTGTTGAATTATCAAGCATTCCTAGCTCTACATTGCTTTGTCATCTTTTCTCTTTCCTCCAACATCTACTTTCATTCAAACCATTTTTTTTATTTGAGCATACACATTCAGTGCAGTGTTTTCCCTTTTATAGGCATCTCTTCATTCCTCTCTTCACCATCAGTATAAAACCTAATCCTCTCACTATGTCCCAAAAAATTCTGCATCTCCGTAGACATTTTAGCACTGACCTTGATCACAGTCTGACTTGTCATCTTCCACTGTCATCCCTGTCCTTTAGCAAGTTGTTAGTAAAATATACAAGTAGGACCAGTCTCTCGCTGTCTCCTGCAAAACAGATGTGCCATTCGGCCTGTCACCAGGACCCTCAGTCCTTCACTATGAAAGCTCTTCAAAGTGAAAATTGCAACACAAAATATTTGGGCGCATATTTCTCATTACTGCTCTATGCAGGCTTTGAAAATCGTACAGACTCGGACAAGCAGAAATCACTGGGAACACAGCTAGCGATTGCAGTGTGTCAAAATGTTCCAAGTCAGGCTTGAGTTCAAGTTCTGATCTGTCACTTAGGGAGGGAACCACGAGGAGGCCAATCAGTCGGTAATCGCTCAGAGGTCAACAGCCTGTGGTTAGAGCTGTGCCATGTTGTGACAATAATCGCAATCAAATAGAGTTAAGTATAAAGAAAGTGCTTCTTTCAGACTGGAGAGGTGACACATGCTGACTAATGGCTGGAGTCAATCAACTTTCCACTTAGCTCTGATTCTGTAGTAGGAGTTTAGGTTCTAATTGAAGCTGAGGGGAGAGACACTGCTTTAATTTGGATATGCAAAATTTGTGGTTAATGGCGAGATAAATGGTGATAGAAATGACACAAACTTGCATAGCACATATGCAACTTGATAATGGTGACAGATTTACAAGTAATTCTTCTTTTAGTAATTCTTAGTAATTTTTCAAACAATGGTTCCTTGATTTCAGGGTTAGGGGTCATGGTTGGAGTTAACAGCAACTATCGCTACTGCAGTGCATTAGTAATTCCATATAATTTTGGGTTTAGTGAGGGACAGATGAAGAAAAAAGAACGGCAGAGGCCAAGACAAACCCTAGATCCTCGCTTCTTACAATGCTACCTGATTTCTTTCATTAGATGTACCCTGCCTGACACACACCCACAGTTCTCCACACCGCCTGTAGGATCGCAAAATCAGAATAACCCTGGTGACATCCCTATGACATCCTCAGGTTGTTTTTTTTCAGACTTCAGCTCCCCCAGAGCCACAGGAAACACAGCAACCATAACATAGATATGTGTTGTTGTGTATGTGTGTTGTCCTATAGGCCGCTGACAAAGATGAATTTGCATTTTATGTTAATTAAATGGATAATAAAGTCATCTTAATCTGAGACACTATATAATTGTTCTCTCAACTCTTGAGTTTGTTTGTAGGATTTCCACTTCCTGTCATCAGTGCGACCCATAACCTAACATCACCCCAATCCACAGCCATGAGATATTT